AAGAAATAAGAGAAAAGATTACAATTATTATTATTATTAATTATATTGTTATTGGAAAATTGAATGGGGACTCTAAGACCAAGAAATGAGGTCAATAACTTACCTCAACCAAATGCTGCTGTAGATGAGTGTGTATGTTTCGCTGGCGACAAACTTCCTTCAAGCTGTCGGAATACTTGTCCACAGTGAACATTTTCGACAATGAAGTGAAATAGTGTATATCCGCCTTGTCTCGTAGGCCGTGCTGAAAATGACCGATTGAAGATGAATAAAAATAACAGAAAGATCATAGACCAACATAGATTTCTAAAGCATAAGGAAAACCGGCAATCCATGTCCTGAAACTGAGGATGATGTACTAAACAGAGCATTATAAAAGAGCGGCAGAGGCATATTGTGTCAGGCAAGACTGAAGCTATGCCCTAACACTTGATGCAATTATCACGATGAGATGGGATTGTGATAACTTTGTACTTTCATGAATCAGTGGATTATATATTTTACTTTAATTCGGCTGACCCCTTGGAGGGAACAAATCAGCCCCGTGCAGAGTTCAAGTTCCATAAGGGTGGCACACAGAAGATTCTACGGAATCACTCGGGGTTTTTTTGTCCTACGGTGAATTTTCGCAACAGAATGTGAAGTTCGGGGTAGCTGTATTACGGTGTATGATTGCCGGTGGCTATTCCACAAATGTGGATACAATCACGGGATTAATAACAATCCCTTAGCTGGGATATGTACTTTAAAGCCATTGGATAATGCAGCTATCTTCTTTTATCGAACGCTATCTCGCCTAGGGGCCTTAGTTCGCTTTAACCTTCTTCAGCCCGTTTATGATGCATATATCAGCTTCTTGGTATGGCCCTAAGGGGCATGGCAGCCTATCGGCTCAGCAACACTCCCATCAGATCATATTTTGGTATACGGAGCATAGCTCTGTGAGCAGATGATACCATCGTGAATGAAAGCCCGAGGAGTAGTTAGCATATGAAGGCCACTTAGACCAAATACGACCTTTCCACTGGTTTCTTCTGCAAACGTCACACGGCAAAGGAAGTCTACTCCCGTTGGAGTGCTCCGCAGGCCTCAACCTTCCCCCCCCCCCCCAAACTAAGGAGGTCAAGCGCGTAGGTGTGATAATGTGCGAATATGGAAACCTCACCACCTAAGTTTGATATAGCTTAACCGAAAGTCTCACCATACCGGGGAAACGCAACACCAAAAGCTGACAATCACCCCTTCCGCGGAACGGCTGTGTGCGCTATACCATAAGACTGAACAGTCCACTGAGATACATGTTAAACTATTCACGACGAGTTGACCTCATTTTTTTATTTCATTCGACCGATTTTTTTATAGGAAAAAATGATGTCATGAACGTTAAACCTAAGTTGAACCCTTTCGGGACAGGCAAGTATTGTAAAGTCGGGCATGTCTTTGAGAAACGAGAAAAAACAGGCCATCTGTATATTCGGTAACATTGACCAGAAATCCGTCATCTGGAGTGATTTAAACTATCAATCTAACAAAATGCCTAACCATTTGCTACTTCTATTTGATTAACTGTTGCAGTGCAATCAATTTAATCAGTTCTATGACAAAATGGAAAACGGGAGACTAACCCTGCGTAGATAGTCCTCAAAGAGATACATGACTTTTTGCGGTGCTCCTGCACATTTGATCGGATCACAAGGTAAGGTGAACATAGCATAGCCTCCTTGGAACGCCTGATAAGCTTTAAACGTTTTATCCAGATGTGGTAACGAGTAGTTGGATATGACACGAGGATCATGATCCAGGGCATCCTGAGCACCAGCAATCTGTCCAATACACACAACGGAAAAAGATGGCATTTAGTGTCGAGAACACTGAACAACGCAGCCAACTGAAAACATTGCGGATACAGGTGAGCAAAAAGCTATCCGTATTGGAAGTATACGAGATCTTGAAAAAAAAACTTTCTATCCCAAATTATATCAAATATGGGAGCGTTCATGGACATGATTCCAGATGGCCAACAAATGATCAAGCGAAACCGACCAAACAGCTATGGCCCAATGTCACCCCATTTTTAATGAGAAACGTTGCTGTAGAAAGACAACGCGCGCGAGTAGTTCCAGCATGTGGTCCAGCATGCAACTTTCGTCCTTGCACAGAGGTGCGTAGTGTGCAAGAAAACACTATGCTGTAAACAAAACCTACGGGCCATCAAGAATGAACCCAACAAACGATAGAGTTATGCTTGTTGTTTGATTCGAACCGAAAAAGGACTGAATTTCTCAACATAAACACAAACTTGAATACATTCAGAACAGCAATGGGCTTACCTTATCAAATCTTAACTCCATACCAAGAGCCAGGATGAGATAATCGTATGAAACCTATGAAAAAGAGAACAAAACATAAGACCCTGTTTTCAGCTTCAGTCATTTTTTACAACCATTAGACATGCACTTTCGTGCGCCGATTTTGGTTGCAACCAAACCAGGTTAAAAACACTGGGTTTCGCCTGATCACCGGAGGCCTTATGAGCGAAGCAAAAATCTCGAACAGTTAATCAATACAGTTCATGTAGTGAAAACAGGAATAGAAAATTTACCCATGATCTGTAGATGAATAGCTATTTCCGAACGGATGAGAAGTGCTTCAAAAGCACCGTTTGATAGCAGAACACACGAACTAACTAAAGCAGATATTTGCCCGGAGAATTTTTCTTAGCGGTTTCGCTCAGGTGATCTCTTCACCAAGGCATTGGCAGAAGTGCGCAAAGCTTCTAAAGCAAATGGGGTTAATCTATATGCTCGCGTAAACAGTGGCGTTCTTGCATCTTCTCAATTTCTTTGCTAAATTAGTCCATTAAAATCCTCCATTTTCTGTTCTTCCACAATGGACAGCCAAAAGACAGCAACCAAAACCGGTGTACATAAATGCACGGTTAATGGCTGAACAAACTAAAAACCGAAACTGACAGGTTTGCGTGTGTGCATATTCATTCTTCGGAGGGTTACTGGTACCTAAGAGGGATTATGAGCCCCTTTTGACCGTTCGTTTTATCTAGATAAAATGTGGAGTACACGTTAGTGTGGATGCCACTAAACGCTTACCGTTTGCATCAGAGTACTGGAAGATTTGATTCAATTTCACATGGGGGAGATAACTTTTTTGCATAAGGGATAGTGGTTGCGATAGTTCGTGCTTATCCTCAGTTGACGAGATAGAGAAACCAGATTTTGCGAGATTCCGAAATACGGAAATAAGTATAAATGAGACCCCAGCTGTTTGTATATGCACTAACAGACCGAAAAGTCCGGAAATGGCAAAAATAAAATAAGATCAATAGGAAAAGAGAAGGAAATGGGATTTCGTGATAGAAATTCTCTAAAGGAGGCGTGAGATGAGTCGGCTAAGAGGCCGGCCGAGTCGGAGCAACGTTTGGTGTAGCTGTATTAAGTGGTGGTGCACAAAAATGAAGAGCTTTACAACAACAGAATTTACCTGCTTTCCGCTCGACAGATGCACGCGTGATAAATCCGGTTCTAATTTGACGAGCCGATCGGAAATGAAATTCACATTACGCGGAACCACTTCTGACATTGGACGCCCAGAATCCTTTGTTTGGTAGATACCTGCACCCACCAGGGTCCAGAGCGGTTGATAGTAATGGATCTGCAAAACGGGACAGCAGAATAAATGAACGATGAATACCTTTGGGGTTTTACTTGGAATAAATACCAGCAGACTAAATTATGCATGTCTATCTTCTGTTACATTGGTGTACGTATATTGAAAATGTCTAGTCAGATGGGAAAATATTTGATCCTATAGGATTAGTCCCGGATGCCTGAAGAAGGAAAAGTCGACGTGTGTCGCGTCTATTATTAGAAATCAAGCTAAACCAGGATGTCTAAATAAGAGAAAAGCCTATCGCACACATAGGCGGCTATCCAGCCTTCTCACGTTCCTGTCAGCAAGTATCATTTAATCTTCCTTGGTTTTATAGACTGTCCAACTCTAAAACACTTCATTTTCTTATCTTCTTATCTAACTTCAATCCCATTTTCTTTAAAAGCAGGGTGAATAAGACTATTCTAACATGAGTGTTCTCCGAGGACAAACATCGTGGAGCTACTTTAGGCTCACTCAACTCTCAAACATTAGGCATAAGATCATCATAAAACAGGTATGAATTGTACGAGTTGCCTTTGACAGTTTCGGTCTCGTAATAAAAATTAGACACCATAGACAGCGAATGGCGAGTGATTGCCATAGGAGGGTTTCCATATACAAAACTGAGGTCGAAACAGTTGTCCAATGCTTCCCAGCTTTCCAGCTCACGCCTCATTTACACGACGAATTCATCATGCAAACAAATCAAATCCTCCATTACTCTCATACAAAAAATAATCAGGTTGTGAAAGTTTCCAACCGAGTCATAACTCTGGAGGTCAGTGCTGAGATGAGCGAGGACCGATACTCGCAACAAGCTCGCATTGATGGGTTGTGCTATATCGTGCAAATTCAAAATGAGAAACGCTCTGATCAGATGCCCGGTGGCCGAGAGGGTAGTATGCTTGCGTTCTATCCGCGAGGTCCCGGGTTCGATCCCCAGTTGGGTCGATGGATTCGCACTGCTGATGAGACCCAACCAAGTCGAAACAGCTGTTCAGTGCTTCCCAGCTTTTCAGCTCACGCCTCATTTACACGACGAATTCATCATGTTTACATCTTTTGTTTGTTGACCAAATCACTCTTCAACGGGTCAATTCGAGGTCTTTCCCTCAAATTCCACTGCAATAGCAAGCCTAATCTAGCGGGGCATTATGTGAGTCGCCAGTCCAAGTTCCATGGTATAAGCTACCGGTTTCTATAACTGGACAGCAGGTGTTAGCCAATAGGGTACTTGTTATGAGTCCACCCTGGGAGATGACGCAAGCCAGGCGCCTACGCGTTCCAAATTCTGGACATCGAACTACAAGCAAAAGCTATTAGCCAGTCAGAGGTCATGCAGTTCAGAGAGAAGCCGTGTGATTTGGAGAAACAAACCGGTGATTGGCTGATTTCCATTTGCTCAATCATATCTCTATTCATCTATCATTCAATCCCGTTGATTTAATTCAGTCAAAGAGCCTCTAGTTCTGTGGCTTTTTTTCTTGCGTCTAGGAGACGGGAGATTCAAGCCAATGATGGCGATTCCTTGATTCATTTATGATTGTGATTCCGACCATTACTGGGGCTTATCTCATTTACTATTCACTGCAAACGGGGAAGCAGTAAAGAAAGTATTTGCCAAAATCGCCTCAATAGTTTTCTTTAGAAATCAGTCCATAAGCTTCACATTATTTGAGTGCTCTATGGTTAATAAATTTCGTTGAACCTTTGTATACAAAAATTGTTTTTTAAACATGCACTTTAGTCTACTTACGAAGCGCTTACCTCTGAACTGTACACCACTTCTACACTCTTCCTCCGTTAAGTTCCCTTTTTCATCTTTATCTTGATGCTTGTTTTCTTTTCGCCTTTTGCATCGCCGATAGAGGGTGGGTGCTGAGTTGAATCTGTCTGGTTGTTGCATTCGCTCCAGAGCTCTCAGTTGTCGATGCTGAATTAGAAGGGCCGAGATCTGAAAAAGACGAGAACGTTCTTCGGAAAGATAGAAGCGACTCCCATCACTTATTCGAATTACAATTCATAAAGCTGATTGCCTCACAACCACTGTACAATCACGTGAAAGAGCATACCAGATTTGGAAACTTGCAATCACCATCCATACTAGATTTAGTGTTGACAAACGAAGAGCTGATGATAGAATCCGTCACCGCAATGACCCCTCTGGGACGAAGTGACCATGCTGTACTGTTGTTCAAATACATTTGTTACGCTTCTGTCAAAGTAATTAACCCAAACAACATTCACACATTCATAAACTATGCGAAGTTGCAGAGATTAGCTCCTTCCATTCAATGGATATCTCATTGGGACGAGCACAACCTTTTAGTCGTATGGCAGGAATTTACTGACAGTCTGCAACAACTACTGGCGTCAGTGACGCGGGTAAAAGTTGTTACCAAACCCAGCAGCCGGAAATCACCTATTCGAAGCCGTACAAAGAAATGGACATTTCTGAGGGACCTCTCTTGGAGAAAGTACAAACGACTTCCAAATGCATGCACCTGGAACAATTACCGACTGATGCGATACGACTGCATCAAGTTGGTGAGCGAAGATAGACTAAACCATCAAGAATCTCTAGCACAAAGACTTATTTCAAACCTCAAGCTTTTGTACAAACATGTTAAATCAGCTCGAAAAGTTGAACATAGAATACCGGTGCTCAGTTCTTCCGGAAGAGCCACAGCCAATACAATGGAAGCCGCTGAAATGCTGAAGAACCAGTATGTCCAAGTGTTTGCTGCGTCAACTAACGAACGACTGTACCTCCCTTGATAGATGCATCAACTTCCACATCCTTCACTAACCAACGTATCATTCACAACCGAAAAAGTGAAAGCAAAGCTATTAGCTTTGAGGAAGAATTCATCGCCAGGGGCAGACAATATTCACCCCCAAACTCTTATCTGCTTGGCAAATCAAATAGCCGACCCACTAGCTTTCCTGTTCCAGAAGATGTTCGATCACACTGCAATCCCACTGTCGTAGAAGCAGGGAGTAATTTCACCTATTTACAAAGGCGGTAGCCGTAGCGATCCCGCTAACTACCGCCCTATAACCCTCTTTTCAGTGCTGTCCAAAGTTATGGAGTCCATAGTAGCAGATTCCGTGATGGAATACCTAGAGAAGCACGTTTTGCCATCAAACCAATATGGATTCCGACAGAATCGATCCTGCG